TCAGTGGTGCTGACTTTGGTGGCCACATCTGTGTCCCAGGAGATGCCAGTGGCAAATGGGCATTGGATACTGTCCACGAGGCAGTGGGCTTGGAGCATCCCCAGGCAAGCTCCTCCCCACTGCTCCGTGCCTCAGTTTCTCCATCTACATGAGGGTCACCGCACGGCTGAGCCCCGTGGTGATAGGCATTTGTGGGCAGAGGACCGCCGCGGGTTGTCCCCACAGTGGTGGCATCTGGCCCCGGGCTCTAGGGCACCTGGATCTGCAGGTCCTCGTCCTCGTCAGGGTCACTGGTGCCATCCCCGGTGTCGTCAGGACCGAAGCGGGTGCTCCGCATCTTGCCAAAAAGTGGGGTGCTCTGCTGCCGCCGCAGCCTGCCAAGGGAGAGCTGCCGAGGTGGGGGCATGGGGTGCAGCCCCTGGGGGGATGCTAAAACCGAGCCCACTCCCCTGCACACCTACAGCACGACTGCACTTTGGGGGGACCCCATTCCTGCAGCTGCTGCTAAGCTCTGGGTGCAGCATCAGCCCCCCCGGCCTGGGGCCGACCCTCTGATGTGGGTTTGAGGAGCGCTGGATGATGCTCGGCACAAGCCTGCAACCGGCTAAAACAAACCCCCGGGGCCAGACCCTGCCACGCTGGGCATTTCAGACCCAGCCCAGAGGGTGGAGCAGGGAGGAGTTGCCTCCCTAAAATGAGCATCTCCCCAAAAATCCAAGAGTCCCCGCTCCCAGGAGTCTGGGGTAGTTTTAGCTCCTTGCTTGCCCTCATATGAAAATTCATCAATTGAAATTTATGAAGCAAATTTGAAAGGACTGGGCTCAGAACCCGGTCAGATCTGACCAGTGTGCTGCATTTTACTGGAAAGTATGAATTATTTAAGGATGAACACATGGGGAGGCTGGGGAGGGGGGGAAGGTGAAGTCTCCATTATCCTTCCATGATTTAATGATGATGCCCCAATAAAATAAAGGACGATTATAAACACAGCCCCGCCCCCCCCAGCGCCTCCTGGAGATGCGACATCGATCTCTCATGGCCATTACAGGTCTTTACTACTGGAGAGGCGAAGCGAAGCCAGTGAAAGTTTTTTTAAAGGGCAATAAAACCCTCCTCCCACCCCCCCAGCTTGGAGCCCGTTCTGGCTCTGAGTACTGGCAAGTGAAAGCCCAAGCTTGAAACTGGGCTGTGCTGGTCTGTGGGCAGCCTCGTGCTGGTTAAACTAGGAGGTGAATGCCATCCACCTTGCAGCAGGGTCAAGGCTCCTCCAAGGAGGGCTGCACACCCTCCAAGGATGCCAGAGGCCACTTGGGTCATGCTTAACCAGGGTTCAACCATGGAGATGCTGCTTGAGGGGTGGTGGCGAGGAGAATGTCATCCCACCCACAGGTCCTTGCTCATCGCACCATGGCCCACCCTAGCCCCCTGCTCACCGGGACTGCAGATGCTCCAGCTGCACCTGGAAGCTCTCGCTCTGCTCCGTCTGCTCATCCAGCGACCGCTGCAGCTTCCGCGTTTGGTTGTGGGCCTCATCCAGCTGCAGGACGGGACGGGACTGGGCTGTCAGCAGCTGCAGAAGGAGCAGAGCTGCTCACCCCTGTCCCCACCATCAGCATGGGCTCCCCCACCTCATCCTCGGCTTGGGCCAGCTCTTTCTTCAGCTCCTCCACCCTCAGGCGCAGCTTCTTCACCTCGCCCTCATGCTGCTCCACACGGCGGTTGGCATGGGCCAGCTCGGCCATCTTCTCTTGGTACTGCTTCTTCAGCTTGGTGTGGATGTGCTTCAGGTCGGCCAGCTCCTGCAGTGGGCATGGGGGGGTGGCTGAGCGGCTGAGAGCCACCCCCACTGCGAGGTGCCACTTTCTCCCTCCCCAGGGACCTCTCACACGACCCCAACACGACAGAAGAGCTGATGGAGCAGGGATGGGGTCACTGCCACCCCTTAACGAAGGGTGGTGCCAGAGTTTGGGCTTGAGGAGGTCCTGAGCTGCCACTGAAGGGACAGAGTCACACAGGGAAGGGGGTGGCAGGGGATGGGACCACCACCATGGCACCTTGTTCTTCTCGAAGAGCTCAGCCTGGATGGTTTTGAGGTCGGTGTCCAGGGCGCTGGCTGTCTGGCGCCGCTTGCGAGCCAGCACCTCCTCCAGGTCCTCGATCTGCGCCCGCAGCTTCTTGTTCTCCCGCTCCAGGTTGAGCTTCTCCGTCTCCAGCCGCTCCCGACGGCCCCACTCGGCTGCGTTCTCCGCCTGCAGACGCTCCATCTGGGACAGGGACATGGAGTGGCTGGGGGAGCAGCGGGGACCCCCCTTACCACCTCTTTGCCCCCTGCACTGTGGTCCAGCCTCACCTCTGCACGCAGCTCGGCCATCTTCTTGTCCATGCTGGAGCGAGCACCCAGCTCGTCCTCCAGGTCCTCGGAGATGCGCCCCAGCTCATCCTGGTGGATCTCCTTCAGGATGTTGAGCTGTGGGGGGGACACAGCACCCAAGGCAGGCACTGAGCACCCACCTTGTCCCACCTGAGCCCTGCCCACACTCGTCCACCCAACTTCTGTGGACAGAAAAACTGGCTCAACAGCACTAATTAAGACCCTTAACGAGTACCCAGGAGTACGGGAGGTGGCTGTGGATCACTATATCCAACCACTGAGAACATGCCACCTCCTGGGTGACAGGCCAGCCCCTGGGGCACCCCTGGTCCCCAGGCACCTCTCTCACCTGCTTCATCACTTCCTGCTTGTTCTTGTTGAGCTCTTCGTACTTGATCTTCCACTGGCTGAGCTCGCCCTCCAGCTTCTCAATGTTCTTACTGAGTGCCAGCTTGTCCCTGGGGAGAGGCAATGCTGGTGACAGCCAGCAGGCCCCCATGGGCCATCCCATCCCAGTGGGGGCTGGGCTGGGCTCAGCTGGCACCCTGAGAAGATCATGCCCTGAGCACTCACTCCCGCTCCTTCAGCAGCACTTTTTGGGACTCATCCAGCCTCAGCTTCAGGGCGGTGACTTTGGTGGCATCTTCCTCCATGATGCTGACATCCTCCCAGAGCAGGCGGCTCCGTTCCTGGCGGGTGAAGGAAGCCCGGGGGCACCGCTGCTCCCAGCTCTCATCCTGCTTGCTTGTCAAGATGTTTTCCATCAGCTCCAGCTCCTGTGGCACCATGGATGGCCCAGGAGAGGGGACAGGGTGAGGGGGAAGCCCTGGCTTCCCAACCCATACAGCACCAAGCCTTCAGCCCATAACCAAAAGCATCCCACCCTCTGGTCCTCAGGGACGCCTCGAGGCTGACAGAGAAGGACCCGTTCTCCCAGGGGAGCTCTCGCACACCACCACGCTCTCCTGCCGGCTCCCCACTTCACTGGAAATTTGGGAGGAGGTGATATTGATTTATTACACCAACCTCACTGCACCCACTGCACGGGGCATCTTCTACCATGCTCCATGAGTGCACGGCAAAAAAGCTGCAGTACTTTTCTGAGGTTGGGACATCCCTGGGGACCAAGCCAGGAACCCAAGGGGGATGCTCAGGTTTGGGATGCTCCCAGATTTGCCACTCGGCAGCTGTGCTGTCAAGTGGACTGAACTGGTGTGGCACGACACCTCCAGCAGCGACTTCTGTGCCACAAAAGGGCTGATGCCAACAGAGAGGGGATGGCTGGGGCAACCCTGGGGTGGCTCCAGTGTTCCCCCTTTCCTCCTTCTCCCTTCAGCACAGACCTCTGCCAGAAGCCCGTATGGACATGTTGGCATTTAAGCAGTCCCTGGGAGATGTCACCGTCGCTGCCAAAGCCACCGGCCCCTGCACCAGCACACTGATTTTTGCCTAATGCCTCCAAAGGAGAAGCCCAAAGACAGGGATCAGAGCCAGTGCCCAGGTGGTCTTGCTATATAGGGCTATGGGGGTCCTGGACACTCCTCATGACGTTGCACCAAGAAGGGGGGCAAACCCCCTTGCTGCTCCAAGAGGTCTGACCCTGAAGGCTGCTCTGAGAGGGGTCTGAGCCCAAAATCTCCTCCAAGTGGAGGGTGACCCCACGACCCTGTGCTGAGAGGTGTCTGAGCCCCCCATGATGCTCTGAGGCATCTGAGACCCCCTGCTAACCCAAGGGGGATCTGCCGCCTCCTGCTGCCCACCCTCACAGGGCAGGCACCAGTGGTCGGGGATGGAGG